TGAGATATAGGGTGGACTGATGTGAGATATAGGGTGGACTGATGTGAGATATAGGGTGGACTGATGTGAGATACAGGGTGGACTGATGTGAGATATTGGGTGGACTGATGTGAGATATAGGGTGGACTGACGTGAGATATAGGGTGGACTGATGTGAGATACAGGGTGGACTGATATGAGATATTGGGTGGACTGATGTGAGATATAGGGTGGACTGACGTGAGATATAGGGTGGACTGATGTGAGATACAGGGTGGACTGATGTGAGATACAGGGTGGACTGATGTGAGATATAGGGTGGACTGATGTGAGATATAGGGTGGACTGACGTCAGATATAGGGGGGACTGATGTGAGATACAGGACGGACTGATGTGAGATACAGGGTGGACTGATGTGAGATATAGGGTGGACTGACGTGAGATATAGGGTGGATTGACGTTAGATATAGGGTGGACTGATGTGAGATACAGGACGGACTGATGTGAGATATAGGGTGGACTGATGTGAGATACAGGGTGGACTGATGTGAGATACAGGGTGGACTGATGTGAGATACAGGGTGGACTGATGGGAGATATAGGGTGGACTGATGTGAGGGGGAGTTGGGTTTAGGTAATGTGAAGGTAGGGAGAGGGTATCTCTGTGGAGGTGCCATGATCCCCCCGCAGCAAGAAATGAGAGGGTGATTGAGACAGATTGCCTCCCACCAGGTGCCCACATTTGCACAAGGAAATTAGTCCTATGTTCTGGCAAGTGCAATATATTGGGATTTTTTTTCAATTGTAAATGATTAGCAAGGATACACAAATTTCTGGACAAGTCCCACTAAAGTTACACAACAGGGGCTGTTAACTCCTTTCTGAAGATTGTACAATGGCGCCACTGCTTGTTGTGCTACTTGACTAACAACACCTGTTCACCAGCGTCAGACTTAAACCTTTGTCAACCAGAGGGGATTCAAATACTGAAACGTTTACACTCTACTTCCTTGAACACTACAATCGGGGAAAAAAGCAAGGTTTACACAGGTAAATCACTTGTACTTAACTAACAAAAGAAATCAGTAAGAGATCATTCTGGCCAGGTATACACAGAGCTCACCCTGGACAGGTATACACAGAGCTCACCCTGGTGACATATACACAGAGCTCACCCTGGTGACATATACACAGAGCTCACCCTGGACAGGTATACACAGAGCTCACCCTGGTCAGGTATACACAGAGCTCACCCTGGTTACATATACACAGAGCTCACCCTGGCCAGGTATACAAAGAGCTCACCCTGGCCAGGTATACACAGAGCTCACCCTGGCCAGGTATACACAGAGCTCACACTGTCCAGGTATACACAGAACCAGGTATACACAGGACCAGGTATACACAGAAGCAGGTATACACAGAACCAGGTATACACAGAACCAGGTATAGAACCAGGTATACACAGAGTTCACACTGTCCAGGTATACACAGAAGCAGGTATACATAGAACCAGGTATACACAGAGTTCACACTGTCCAGGTATACACAGAAGCAGGTATACACAGAAGCAGGTATACATAGAACCAGGTATACACAGAACCAGGTATACACAGGGCTGGGGCAGGTGTACTGAAGTAATCCGCTGCCGTGGACTTAATGGATTATCCATGCACGGACACTGAAGCTTTGTGTGAGGTTACAGGGACTCCATGGATTACTTCACGCACATACAAAGTGGCATTATGTGAGGTGTTGGTGAGTTGGGTCTACAATACCAGCAGCAAGGACCGGGCCACTGGAGGTCAACACAACACACTCACTAATGAAATCTGGAGATCTGTAAATGTGTCAGTGTGGAGTCCGAGGCCTGTGAGGTCGCTCAAATACTACCTCCATACATAAATAATGTATATCCCACAAAGGAAGAGAGCATTGCAGGTGCTTGAATTACCGTGGTGCTTTGTGTGACATTAATAGTAATGTCAACTGTTTCCACAGATCACTGAATACATCACGGCCACACCAACAGCTTCATACAGTCTGTGGCTGCCATCTCAATACAGGCACTGTCACGCTGCCGAATCACATCAATATTTGATCAAGTACTTGAAGCCATAAGGTTTGATACTTCTGTGTGGCACAAAGCAGGGTTAAACCTAACCAACAGTGTGCTGGCCCTACTACTCCAGGTAGGTGAACGTTCCCTGACAGCAAGTTAAAAGGCTCACTTAACTCCACAAAGCCATGTTACCAATGTCCTAACTCTAAGCACAGTACAACACAGACTTGTGGTAGTACAAGAATCAAGAATCGAGGTTGTGATATCAGCAGTGACACAAGCTGACAGAGACGAAGTTGAAGACAAGATGTCTTCATGTTACAAAGCAAGATCAACGTCCTGAAATTCAACAGGGAACTGATTTCACCTGACATAGAATGTCATTCTAGACTGAGACCACCTGACTTCACCTGACATAGAATGTCATTCTAGACTGAGACCACCTGACTTCACCTGACATAGAATGTCATTCTAGACTGAGACCACCTGACTTCACCTGACATAGAATGTCATTCTAGACTGAGACCACCTGACTTCACCTGACATAGAATGTCATTCTAGACTGAGACCACCTGACTTCACCTGACATAGAATGTCATTCTAGACTGAGACCACCTGACTTCACCTGACATAGAATGTCATTCTAGACTGAGACCACCTGACTTCACCTGACATAGAACGTCATTCTAGACTGAGACCAACTGACTTCACCTGACATATAAGTTCTGACAACACATTTAATTCGCTCTTTATGGTTTTAAAAGCGTGTCCATTTGTCAATGTATAGCTAAAGGCGCTCATTACGTATAAGCCTATTAACAGTATATAGCTGACGAAAAAGGGGTTTGACCAGTAAGGAATAGATCTGTCAAATCAAAGTAGTAAATATTGATATTTGCTTGCAATTTGGAGATGGTCTCAAGCATCAACTAACACTGTAGCTAATGATTCATAAAGAGGGCCAATAATTAAAATCTAACAGCCACATTTTTAATACGAAACACATTTGCCTACTTAATTTATCTCCAGATCAAACGACCTCCTGTCGGACTGAAGAGTTAATACAGTATCAACTGAAACTGTGGTCATCCACAATTGATGACCTGATCTATGACAGACAGATGACCTGATCTATCATAGTCAGATGACCTGCTATAGGAGTCAGATGACCTGATCTACAACAGTCAGAAGATCTGATCTAATACAGTCAGATGACCTGATCTACAACATTTAGATGACCTGATCTAATAGTCAGATGATCTGATCTATGACAGACAGATGACCTGATCTAATACTGTCAGATGACCTGATCTATGACAGTCAGATGACCTGATCTAATACTGTCAGATGACCTGGTCTATGACAGACAGATGACCTGATCTAATACTGTCAGATGACTTGATCTATGACAGACAGATGACCTGATCTAATACTGTCAGATGACCTGATCTATGACAGACAGATGGCCTGATCTATGACAGACAGATGACCTGATCTATGAGACAGATGACCTGATCTAATACTGTCAGATGACTTGATCTATGACAGACAGATGACCTGATCTAATACTGTCAGATGACCTGATCTATGACAGACAGATGACCTGATCTATGAGACAGATGACCTGATCTATGACAGACAGATGACCTGATCTAATACTGTCAGATGACCTGATCTAATACAGTCAGATGACCTGATCTCTGACTAACAGTCAGATGACCTGATCTCTGACTAACAGATTACCTGATCTATGACAGGCAGTTAGATGACCTGATCTATGATAGTCAGATGATCTGATCTAATACAGTCAGATGATCTGATCAATGACAGGCAGTCAGATGACCTGGTCAATGACAGGCAGTCAGATGACCTGATCAATGCGTGAGTGAGTGAATGAGTATGTCCTTGCTGCTTTTAGCAATATTCCAGCAAATAATAATAATAATAAGTCCATTTATACTTCGCCAGATTCCATTCACCAAGTTAATGCTCATGGCGCTACATAGTTTTAGCAAATAATGCTAATGAAAGGGGAGTAGAGTTGATAGTTTTGTCTGAAAAGGTGTGTTTTCAGATGAGCCTCAAATGATGAAAGCGATGGCAACAGCTAAGATCAGATGGTAGTTTGTTCCATAACGAGGAAGCGCAGAACTGGAAAGATCTCTGACCAAAGGTTTTGAGACGGGTTTCCGGGACTTGTAACAGGTGGTTATTCTTAGAATGGAGAGATCTAGAAGGATTGTATTTAGGCAGTAGTTCGATGAGATATAATGGGTCTGTTTCCATGTAGCATTTGTAGGCCAGGGTTAGAATTTTGAATTCAATTCTGACTTTGAGTGGTAACCAGTGCAGCGACATCAGAGCAGGTGTTACTGGAGTCCATTTCGATGTCTTCGTGACGATACGTACTGCTGTATTTTGTACACGTTTGAGCCTGTGGAGTTGATCATTTGTGATGTTACTCATGAGACTGTTGCAACAGTCAAGTTAATATCATGGCGGGGAACACCAGAAATTGGCTTCATACACATTGTATCCATGTGGGGAATCGAATTCTGATTTTTTGGCGTGACAAGGGAATGCTTTAACCATTAGGCTACCCAGTCTCCCTCAGCACTTGATGAAACGTACAAGCACAGGTGTGGTGCTGACAGACTGACTGACTGACAGACCAAGGAGCATAATCCTGGAGACAGGGAAACACATGGCAGCTGATCCTGACGGGCAAGGGAGGCAACTCTGTAGAATATTTCCACCCAAGGGAGGTTACACATTTGCCAAAAGTGTACATACTTCCTGACAATAACATACAGATTATATAAAATAACATGTCACTGACCATAAACCAGAATTTAAAAGGCCAAATCAGACCGAGAAATAAGAAGTCATGAATGAATCTTTGCTGCAATAAACAGGCATTGTCACACGTTGAGTGCATATGAAGAGAGTGGGTCCTACCTCATGCTCCTGGTTGCTGTCATCTAGGTTGTGTATTTGTTTCCTCAAGGTGGCGTCTGCTCGTGTCAGCCATCTTGTCACCAGCTCCAGCTGAGTCTGGTACTGCTCCCGATCTTCTCGAAGATTCAAAAGTTCCTCCTCCTTTGACTGAAGAGTGTCTGTCATACTCGCCTCCAGTTCCCGGACCCGTGTCATCTCGACACGCAGCGACTCGGGCAGTTGCTTCCCTTGAGCGCTATATTTAGCCTCCTGCACCTGCACAATGCGATTGAATTGCTGGATGCGAGTCCTGACATCTTGTTGAAGAACCTGCAACATAGGAATGATGAGATAGTACAGAAATACTGTCAGGCTGTGTTTAATGACAACTATGTGTCACAGATTTGTTTGTTGAGTGATTAGGGCATTCCTTGATAGTACCTTGTATCGCTGTAAGCTGTCTGCTGCGTGTGTCTGATCGGGGCCCATGTGAAGCTGCATCAGCTCGTCCTGGGTGTGAGTGAACCACGTGATGGTCTGCATCATCTCGGTCAGGTACGACTGTTGATCCTCCTGGTCCTCCCGTGCAGACGTCAGTTCGCTCCTTACCTCATCCCGCAGTCTGCAACACAAGGACATAATATTTCTCCAACAGATGGAAATAAACTTGCACGTTATATTCACAGTCTGGGAACACACACATGAATATTTGGAAACAATGGTCAGGAACAAGGGGTATGGGCGGCCATTTGGTAAAAAAATACAAAGTTGAAAAAAAGGACAAAAGTATGCAATTAAGGTCAAATATTACGAATAAAGAACTAAATGTTACTACAAAAGGTCAAAATACAATATTAATAGTCAAATGTTACGAAAAAGACATCATAAGAAAAGAAAGAACAATGTGTACGAAAGAACGTCAGTGAGCACGAAAGGACATTTTCAATAAAGAACATCAGTGAGCACGAAAGGACGTTGACAATAAAGAACACCAGATGGCGCTGCAATTTGTAAAACATTCCGAGTTTAATCGGCTTGTTCCACCGTGTATAGTATATGATAACTGCATGCCGAGGTGCACAATGTATTACGTCATTCCTTGTGCACTCACCGTCTGACGTCACATATATATATACATGTATTTATAATGTATAATGTACACATTGTTTATAAACATGTTGCGTTAGCTTTGTCACCGCTTAAGGGCCTTTTCATAAGTACAGTATACTGTGTAATCCAAAATCTGCCTAACATTGGTACTAGGGCTTGGACGGGTAACTCGGGTACTCGGGTCGGGTGGGTACGAAGTAGGACCCGGGTACCCACATGACTACCCTGAACCTCTATGTTTAAACTACAAGTCACTTATGTTCGCAGTTCTTCCTGACTACTATGCCCGTTCCTTCTGACTTTTATATGTTTGAATAAAAATAAAACTTCAGTCAACTTCAGTGAATGTATACACCAGATCGTTTCATACATGTATCTAAACACATTCTACCAGACCTACGGTCAAACTTTTTCCAATCGGACAGTTTGTACCTACCTCTGCAGCGGGTACCCGGGTAGGGTCGGGTAATAGAGGGGTGGGAACCCGGGTAGTAAATTTGGACTTGTCCCAGCCCTAATTGGTACATGTATTTTGTATACAACCTTCAAAAAACACTCACTTAACGCTAAACTAGGATTCATCTACAGTGATCCAATAACTGTTCATGCTTGGTGCAACACGAGGGTGCTATGATGTCAAGTTTTGTTTCAGACGCACATTTTCATCTGAAAAGTGAACGTTGTGCGAGAGTTTGTTTTATTTAACAGCTTTTCGGAAACTGTGTGCGAACAAAATGCTGCCTAAAATCTGAACAACAAATATATATACCAAATGGATTTGTATGCATATGTATAACTTACACATTCGTTAGGAAAAATAGCTCGCCATAAATAAAGAAAATCGAGTTTCATCTATGACGCCAGCGTTCGTTTTCAAACCATATTTATTTTGTTTGTTTACATCCACATTTGTATGTGTGACGTCAGACGGTGAGTTTATTGAAAACGTCCTTTCGTTCTCACTGACGTTCTTTCGTACACATTGTTCTTTCTTTTCTTATGACGTCTTTTCGTAACATTTGACTATTAATATTGTATTTTGACCTTTTGTAGTAACATTTAGTTCTTTATTCGTAATATTTGACCTTAATTGCATACTTTTGTCCTTGTTTTCAACTTTGTATTTTTTGACCGAATGGCCGCCCATACAAGGGGACAAGACAGCAAGGCTAACTTTGATAATCTCAGTGAAGGCTTCAGTACACTGTGACCTGTGAAGATCCGGGCTAGAATAGGTCTTCAGCAACCCATGCTTGCCGTAAAAGGCGACTATGCTTGTCATAAAAGGGGACTAACAGGATCAGGTCAATTGCGTGGATTGATGTTCATGATGTAAATCACTGGATCGTCTGGTCCAGACTCGATTATTTACAGACCGCCGTCATATAGCTTGAATATTGCTGAGTGCGGCGTAAAACAACAAACCAAACCCAAAAAAACCCAGTACACTGTAATCAGCTACACTCATGCATCCACTATACATATCAGGATTATCTCCCTTGGTGTGCGTGTTCCTCCTCACCTCTCTAGGGTTTCCTGAGCCGACAGCAGGCTGTTCTGACTGGAGACCCTGGCTTCCGCCGTGGGCAGACTTCGCTGCAGCGTCATACCGGACCTCTGCAGAACATCAAGCCTGGTCTCTGAACTTGACAGCGTGAGGCTCAATTCCTGAATAACAAGACAGTTTGTCAGTTCAGTTCATCATCATCATCATCATAATAATAGTTATAATAATAGGTCTATTTATACTGGATCAGTGTGCATCCAAACATCATTCTCAGCTCCCTTGGGAGTATGCACCCCAGCTGCCTGTGAGGCGCCAGAAGCTTAACCACATTGCTCATCCTACGGGTACCCATTCACTGCTGGGTGAGGCACATTTGGAACAAAGTTACTTTCACAACGAGAGACCACATGGAGCTACTGGCCCTGACTAAACTCTTTACGCCCTCATTTAAAAAAAACTTATTGTGACAAATAAATCCACATGTAAATGTCCTGCAGGCCATAAGAACTATGGGCCCCGACACGAGATCTGCCCACAGGAATGAGCTTAGTTTGAACACTGCATGTGTTCCGTGAGCTTCTGTGTGGGGCAGGACTGAAGCCCTAGAACACTGCATGTGTTCCGTGAGCTTCTGTGTGGGGCAGGACTGAAGCCCTAGAACACTGCATGTGTTCCGTGAGCTTCTGTGTGGGGCAGGACTGAAGCCCTAGAACACTGCATGTGTTCCGTGAGCTTCTGTGTGGGGCAGGACTGAAGCCCTAGAACACTGCATGTTTTCCGTGAGCTTCTGTGTGGGGCAGGACTGAAGCCCTAGAACACTGCATGTGTTCCGTGAGCTTCTGTGTGGGGCAGGACTGAAGCCCTAGAACACTGCATGTGTTCCGTGAGCTTCTGTGTGGGGCAGGACTGAAGCCCTAGAACACTGCATGTGTTCCGTGAGCTTCTGTGTGGGGCAGGACTGAAGCCCTAGAACACTGCATGTGTTCCGTGAGCTTCTGTGTGGGGCAGGACTGAAGCCCTAGAACACTGCATGTGTTCCGTGAGCTTCTGTGTGGGGCAGGGCTGAAGTCCGAGAAACTCTCCGGAGCCTAGCTGCTGAACTGTGCAATGACTTGTGTTCATTGCAGCAAGTTTTCAAAGTTTGTTGTGCAGACATTAGAGCAATTGGAATGCTTTGTTTTGTCTTGTCTTATTATTTAATTTCTAAAATAATAAATTCTTTGTAAATGTGACTCCTTAAACCTTAAAATTACACCTTGAAAAAAAGAGCCAGGAGCAAATCTAAGCTTGGAGTGCTGCGGGTCATGAGGTGCCTTCCTGCATAGATGGGAACCAAGATACCAGGTCACAATAACTGACTGACAGTAACACCACAGTTATCTCCCCTTATCTATATGGGTTTCAGTGAGCGATCACCTGCAGGATGGTGATGTAGGTGTTGAGGTCGTCGGTGTCCCGGGCATGCCGCGCCTCGTGCAGCTTGGACTGAACCTCCTGCAGGGAGGTCTCCATGTGCTCCATGTCCGTGGTGTAGTCGGTCCACTGACTGCCCGTCTCCTGCAACACAAGCGCCTCCTGGTGACAACACTACACCACGAGCAGACAGCACCAACACAACATGTTTGTGAAACAATTGGAAACAGGTAGCTGGTGTAGTTATCTCAACATGATACCACAACCTCAGGCCCCTAGCTGTTATACACTCAATCTTTGTCAGATGTGAGTGTAGTTCTAAACAACCTCATCAATACTTGTGTTGTAACCACGATACAGAAGCATGACTATTCTGGTCTGAGCTACATGCTACAAATTGGAACTGAACAAAACACAGAAAATGTAAACATAGTCAAGATTATGGTCAAGCATGACCTCTGTGAAATGGTCGACACGAGTCCTCTGGATTAGTCTTAGAAACACAATGTCTGCAGACGTGGACGCTATGGGGCCTGTGTTTACCTGGACATTCAGCAGTTTGGCCTCCATCTGTGCAACGAGGGTGTTCCAGCGGCTGTTTATGCTGTTGGTGTGTTTGTTGATGAGGGAGCGGCTGTTGGAGTTGGCCACGCGGTCCAGGGATCGGGCGTGGTCATTGAGTTCATCCACCGCAGGTCGGCACTGCGACTCCATCACTGTCTGAATGTTCTACAAGTGGAACACAGATATCAGACCAGATCATCTAGTTGACAACAACAAAGACGGATATCATTGAACCACTAACTCATCTAACAGTGTGTGATATCAAAAGGCAAACTACTGTCCACAGACCACTGACGCAGCACTGTACAGATCAATATGAGTGGCAACCTGTATTTTCAAGTGAAAAACATTTGTGTGCCAATCATATATTGAACTCTTGGAGCAAATGTAAACCAGCAAAAATTCAAAAAGTTCTTTTTTAGTGTGGAAAAAGTCATCAAACACCCAGAGACTGGTGTTGACTTTCACAGCTATCAAAACATAGCATAAGATGGATTTGGCAAAAAGTAAAAAACAGCAAACCTTGGTGGTGTCGAGTGCAAGCTGCAGATCCTGGGGAGTAACAACGGACATCTTGTCCACCTCCGCTATCTGCGTCTCCAGGCCCTCCAGAATCAGGTGTAGGTCCTGGTGAGCAGCCTGCAACAGACACAAGGTATACAGCAAACAGACACAGGCTATACAGCAAACAGACACAGGGTATACAACAAACAGACAGGGTATACAGCAAACAGACACAGGATATACAACAAACAGACACAGGATATACAACAAACAGACACAGGGTATGCAGCAAACAGACACAGGGTATAAAACAAACAGACACAGGGTATACAACAAACAGACACAGAGTATACAATAAACAGACACAGGGTATACAACAAACAGACACAGGGTATACAACAAACAGACACAGGGTATACAACAAACAGACACAGGGTATACAGCAAACAGACACAGGGTATACAACAAACAGACACAGGGTATACAGCAAACAGACAGGGTATACAGCAAACAGACACAGGGTATACAACAAACAGACACAGGGTATACAACAAACAGACACAGGGTATACAGCAAACAGACACAGGGTATACAACAAACAGACACAGGGTATACCGCAAACAGACACAGGGTATACAACAAACAGACACAGGGTATACAGCAAACAGACACAGCGTATACAACAAACAGACACAGGGTATACAGCAAACAGACACAGAGTATACAATAAACAGACACAGGGTATACAGCAAACAGACAGGGTATACAGCAAACAGACACAGGGTATGCAGCAAACAGACACAGGGTATACAGCAAACAGACACAGGGTATACAGCAAACAGACACAGGGTATACAACAAACAGACACAGGGTATACAGCAAACAGACACAGGGTATACAACAAACAGACACAGGGTATACAGCAAACAGACACAGGGTATACAACAAACAGACAGGGTATACAGCAAACAGACACAGGGTATACAACAAACAGACACAGGGTATACAACAAACAGACACAGGGTATACAGCAAACAGACACAGGGTATACAACAAACAGACACAGGGTATACCGCAAACAGACACAGGGTATACAACAAACAGACACAGGGTATACAGCAAACAGACACAGCGTATACAACAAACAGACACAGGGTATACAGCAAACAGACACAGAGTATACAATAAACAGACACAGGGTATACAGCAAACAGACAGGGTATACAGCAAACAGACACAGGGTATGCAGCAAACAGACACAGGGTATACAGCAAACAGACACAGGGTATACAGCAAACAGACACAGGGTATACAACAAACAGACACAGGGTATACAGCAAACAGACACAGGGTATACAACAAACAGACACAGGGTATACAGCAAACAGACACAGGGTATACAACAAACAGACAGGGTATACAACAAACAGACACAGGGTATACAGCAAACAGACACAGAGTATACAACAAACAGACAGGGTATACAACAAACAGACACAGGGTATACAACAAACAGACACAGGGTATACAGCAAACAGACACAGAGTATACAACAAACAGACAGGGTATACAACAAACAGACACAGGGTATACAACAAACAGACAGGGTATACAGCAAACAGACACAGGGTATACAACAAACAGACACAGAGTATACAACAAACAGACACAGGGTATACAACAAACAGACACAGGGTATACAACAAACAGACACAGAGTATACAATAAACAGACAGGGTATACAGCAAACAGACACAGGGTATACAGCAAACAGACACAGGGTATACAACAAACAGACACAGGGTATACAATAAACAGACACAGAGTATACAATAAACAGACAGGGTATACAGCAAACAGACACAGGGTATACAGCAAACAGACACAGGGTATACAACAAACAGACACAGGGTATACAGCAAACAGACACAGAGTATACAACAAACAGACACAGGGTATACAACAAACAGACACAGGGTATACAGCAAACAGACACAGGGTATACAACAAACATACACAGGGTATACAACAAACAGACACAGGGTATACAGCAAACAGACACAGGGTATACAACAAACAGACACAGAGTATACAACAAACAGACACAGGGTATGCAGCAAACAGACAGGGTATACAGCAAACAGACAGGGTATACAACAAACAGACACAAGGTATACAACAAACAGACACAGGGTATGCAGCAAACAGACACAAGGTATACAACAAACAGACACAGGGTATACAGCAAACAGACACAGGGTATACAGCAAACAGACACAAGGTATACAACAAACAGACACAGGGTATGCAGCAAACAGACACAGGGTATACAACAAACAGACAGGGTATACAACAAACAGACACAAGGTATACAACAAACAGACACAGGGTATGCAGCAAACAGACACAAGGTATACAACAAACAGACACAGGGTATCCAACAAACAGACACAGAGTATACAACAAACAGACACAGGGTATACAACAAACAGACACAGGGTATACAGCAAACAGACAGGGTATACAGCAAACAGATACAGGGTATACAGCAAACAGACACAGGGTATACAGCAAACAGACACAGGGTATACAACAAACAGACACAGGGTATACAGCAAACAGACACAGAGTATACAGCAAACAGACACAGGGTATACAGCAAACAGACACAGGGTATACAGCAAACAGACACAGGGTATACAACAAACAGACACAGGGTATACAGCAAACAGACACAGGGTATACAACAAACAGACACAGGGTATACAGCAAACAGACACAGAGTATACAACAAACAGACACAGGGTATACAGCAAACAGACAGGGTATAAAACAAACAGACACAGGGTATACAACAAACAGACACAGGGTATACAACAAACAGACACAGGGTATACAGCAAACAGACACAGGGTATACAACAAACAGACACAGGGTATGCAGCAAACAGACACAGGGTATACAGCAAACAGACAGGGTATACAACAAACAGACACAGGGTATACAACAAACAGACACAGGGTATACAACAAACAGACACAGGGTATACAACAAACAGACACAGGGTATACAACAAACAGACACAGGGTATACAACAAACAGACACAGGGTATACAGCAAACAGACACAGGGTATACAACAAACAGACACAGAGTATACAACAAACAGACACAGGGTATGCAGCAAACAGACAGGGTATACAGCAAACAGACAGGGTATACAACAAACAGACACAAGGTATACAACAAACAGACACAGGGTATGCAGCAAACAGACACAAGGTATACAACAAACAGACACAGGGTATACAGCAAACAGACACAGGGTATACAGCAAACAGACACAAGGTATACAACAAACAGACACAGGGTATGCAGCAAACAGACACAGGGTATACAACAAACAGACACAAGGTATACAACAAACAGACACAAGGTATACAACAAACAGACACAGGGTATACAGCAAACAGACACAAGGTATACAACAAACAGACACAGGGTATGCAGCAAACAGACACAGGGTATACAACAAACAGACAGGGTATACAACAAACAGACACAAGGTATACAACAAACAGACACAGGGTATACAACAAACAGACACAGGGTATACAGCAAACAGACACAGGGTATACAGGAAACAGACACAAGGTATACAACAAACAGACACAGGGTATGCAGCAAACAGACACAGGGTATACAACAAACAGACAGGGTATACAAGAAACAGACACAGAGTATACAACAAACAGACACAGGGTATACAACAAACAGACAGGGTATACAACAAACAGACACAGGGTATACAACAAACAGACACAGGGTATACAACAAACAGACACAGGGTATACAACAAACAGACACAGGGTATACAACAAACAGACACAGGGTATACAACAAACAGACACAGGGTATACAACAAACCGACACAGGGTATACAACAAACAGACACAGGGTATACAACAAACAGACACAGGGTATACAACAAACAGACAGGGTATACAACAAACAGACACAGGGTATACAGCAAACTGACACAGAGTATACAACAAACAGACACAGGGTATACAGCAAACATACACAGGGTATACAACAAACAGACACAGGGTATACAACAAACAGACACAGGGTATACAACAAACAGACACAGGGTATACAACAAACAGACACAGGGTATACAACAAACAGACACAGGGTATACAACAAACAGACACAGGGTATACAACAAACCGACACAGGGTATACAACAAACAGACACAGGGTATACAACAAACAGACACAGGGTATACAACAAACAGACAGGGTATACAACAAACAGACACAGGGTATACAGCAAACTGACACAGAGTATACAACAAACAGACACAGGGTATACAGCAAACATACACAGGGTATACAACAAACAGACACAGAGTATACAACAAACAGACACAGGGTATACAACAAACAGACAGGGTATACAACAAACAGACACAGGGTATACAACAAACAGACACAGGGTATGCAGCAAACAGACACAGGGTATACAGAATACCAGATTACAATCACTGATCAATGACGAGCGAACGTTCTAACCACCAGGCTACCCCACAGCCACTGGCTGAGGCTGGCGACCCAACTGAATGTTCTACTCACCTGGAACACCTTCCATTCGGAGGCCTTACACTCTAGCTGTTCCTGTTTGCCCTGTGCCGTGGAGATGACGGCCGCCAGTTTCTTGTTGGTGCTGGCGAGTGACTGCTTGAGGGTGGTCTTGTCGTTGGTGTCCAGTGTGGGTATCAGCTTGTCTGACAGCTCCATCACTTGCTCCATCTCATCCTGGCAGAGGCTCGCCTCCGAGAAGTAGTCCTACACCGACATGGTCACGTTACTTACACATTTGTAATACAACTTTCATCTTCCTCCCTCCCTTTTCTTGGAACCTGTTTACTGTTGTTCATTACCATTACATCTCCAACATGGCTGGTGATGGAATGCTGAGTTAACTCTACAATTGTTTTGTTAATCTCATACAGAAATGATTGTCTGAAAGAATATTGTGGTGACAGAGTGAAAATTGAACAGCTGTCTTGTTTTCAAATAATTTTTACTAATTTAAGTGTTTTGTGTGAACAGACTGCATAGCTTCACAGCGTGTTGTGTTAACTGACCGTGTATTCGGAGAGAGTGTTGTTGATCGTGTCGTAGTCCAGGCCATCATAGCCAGAATCCAACATGTCCTCCGCCCCGTGCAGCCACTCGTTCACCTGGCGCATGGAGTTCTCGTACTGGACACGGTCAGCCTTGGCATCCACCAGGTACTGCTCCTTCTTGTCGATTGCGTCCTGTGACAGAACACATGCAGGAGTAGCCACCACGCAACAGTATCACCTGTGCCTTTCTTATTCTGGAGGATTTTTTAAGTTGAATGCTTAAATTTCCTCACCCAATCTATTACTGAAACCTTGTTGGAAGAGGGGTCCCACTTTCACTTGCTCAGAGAAACATTTCTTTCTTTTCACTGTTTTCAAGAGTTTACTTTAAAAGAAACAAGTTTTCACAATGTTGATTTTCACAATGATTTATACTAAAAAGGTTCTACACTACACTATTGTTGTACTTTAAGCTGTGCTAGTCCTATTCAGCAATTTCTGATCCACCATCCACATCCTGCAGCCTATAGCTCTCCGCGGTGGGCAGGTCCACCACAGGAGACATATCACGAGGGCCTCAGTGTGAGGGTGTACCTTGATGGAGTCCTCCAGGCTGTGGATCTGGCCGAGCTTCTCGGTGAGGGCAACGGGGATGACCTCCTGCAGTTCGTCGTAGTGCTGCTTCTCCATCTCCGCCTTCTCCCGGATCACACTCAGCTTCTCCAGAGCCTCACTGGACATCGCCTACAACACAAAATCGAGTGAGTGAGTGAGTGAGTGAGTGAGTGAGTGAGTGAGTGAGTGAGTGAGTGAGTGAGTGAGTGAGTGAGTGAGTGAGTGAGTATGAAGTGAGTGAGTGAGTGAAGGTGGGTGGGTGGGTGGATGAGTGCTGATACTTGCAATATTCCAGCCATATCAAGGCAGCAACTTTACCTATGTACACTATGGGCAAACATTTCAGTATGACATGCTGAATGAGTATAGGAGTGAGCATGGCTCATTTACAGGAGCTTCCCCCTGTTGTAGATTACAGTATCTCCTCCTTACCTGGTGTTTCCTGAGGACAGGGTTGACCTTGTCGGAGTCGAGGTTCAGCGTCCCCTGGGATGCCAGGATGTCCTCCTTCTGCTCCAGCCAGGCAATGGTCGACCCAATCGTGTCCTCGAAGTCTTCTCGTTCCTGTTGCAGTCGCTCACACTGTTGCATCCTGGAATCCACCTCTGTCAGAACGTCCTTCACCTTGTCGCGCACGGCTTGGACTCTCTGTTTGTTTTTGGCATCGTCTTCAGCCGATATGTCGACAGCCATCTGCTGAGCCTGGTCACTGGCCACAAACAGACCTGGCTCCAGACTCACCAGCTTGTCCTTGATTTCCTGCAACACAACAGGAATACTTCATTAGATGGCTCAGCCTTAAAAAACTCAGTATAAGGCTAAAGAAAATAATAGTCTTGGTTCTCAGGCACCGCCCGCATTATCATAAAGTCAGGCCACGTTTCATTTTTATTTCCATTTTCCCCCAAAAATATAAAAAATCTTTAAATATTCGACTTCTCGAACACACGACCCCCTCAGTGAAATGCTACAATACTTAAGAACAATGGGTTTTTCAGATTAAAAACGATGTTTTATTGGTCTGTTTTCAGTCGTACAAATGGGTATCTCATACCTCTAGTCGCACGTTAAAAGGAAGCCAGAAGCTGGAATGTAAACAATAAACTTGTTTCCGTCCGGTTGCGCACGCACTTCCCTATGATATGTCACAAATCTCGAAGAATAAGCCATCAAGCAGGACTGGACTGGATTACTTCCCAGTGGGGATGGCTGGGTGGGAACGTACGACTGAAAACAGACCAATAAAACATCGTTTTTAATCTGAAAAACCCATGTTTTAGTCTGTTTTCAGTCGTACAAATGGGTAGAATTCGACGGAACACTGGAAGGAGGGTCGGGGAAGTAATCAGGAAGTGACCTCTTTCACGTCGAATGTACCAAGTTCCTCACCCCTGTAGTGACAATAGAACATTCGACCAGATGCACGGACGAGACAAATTGTTTATCACGAACGCACAGCATGGTTAATGCTCGACACACAACTAACTATCGATGCGACAGGACAACTGCACGCGTCAGTTGAACCGCGATCGAAGTGGTCGACGTATAGTTTAGTTACAGAGCAACAAGCAGTATACAAGGTAACTAAAACAGCATGTGTAATGCTCTTCGACCCACAAGTAAGTATCGATGCGACAAGACAACTGCACACGTCAGTTGAATTGCGATCGAAGTGTGGTCGGCGCATAATTTAGGTACAGAGCAACTCGCAGTATACAAGGCAACTAAAAAATACGAGCAGTACTATAAAGTATGGGAAGACGATGCATACACCGAATAACCATAATAAAACAGCCGAAGTACTGCATGCAACAAAAAACCTGGGTCCAGAAGAGTGCGTACATTCACCAACAGTTTTTATTGTAACCTGCGAAGAGATCTACTTGAGGCAACCAGAGTCGACCGCTGGCTCTGTCCCCCCCTGGGATACTTGGAAAAGGAGACCTGGCGACCTTTTCTGTCCGCATCACTCTCGCGGGACGGCTGTCGAGGCGTGTCCCTACGAAAGGCCTGTTGCACATTCTCGTTTCTATAACGGCGTCGTGGGGCGTTCGAAACCTGGACATGTTGTGTGAAGCGGAAATGATGATGTCACGCTCGGCTTCCTTGGAGTACTTGTCCAGAACATCGTTGGTACTACCGTCAAACAACTGTTGCGATGACCACGGGGCCCGTAAGAGTGTCCTGCCATGACAATCAGGTAGGTCAGTGCAGGCGATGTAACCATGACGACGTGCCGTAGTAATCTGGCCCGATACATATCGGGACTGGGTGGGGACGTCCGAGATCCACCGTTGCATACAGGTGAGGATTGATGGCACCGTCCTTTCGTCCTTGTCGAGGGGGTCTTTCTCCTCAAAGTACACTGAGAGGGCCTCGATCGCTGTCGACAGCATAGCAAGCGGTTGTAGCTGGTGACGAACAGCAGTGTCCATGGATTCCAAATGCCTGTCTTCTACTAGAATCTTGGAGGACGCTGGTGTCTCGAAGAGTAGCCCCCAATCCAAGTCCCTACTCATGGGTGACGAAAACGGCATGCCATAGATCGGGTAACTAGATCGACCAGGCGGCTTGTTGAAACTCTGTCCCGGTAGAGCAGAGGCAAAGTTCTGGTCCATATCGTGAGCCATGGCTCTGAAGACATCGAGAGGTGAAAACTGGTGTACTGGTCGATGGTCCATGGACCTCCTTCGAATCCTTCTTGGTCGACGCCGTCGAGGCGAGTACCGCCGCCGTGATCTGGGCTATCAAAGTCGGGTCGATAGGAAAGTGAGACGAGGGTGTCGATCGGTCATCAGCTCGACGACGCTGATCTCCAAAAAACTCCCTTCGAGAGCGTCACACGTCCCCGTGGGGGCGAGGGCTACGATCTCTAACTGTAGAAGTACTACGATCCCCATCCTAGTTATCGTCCGAAACGAACTCACGACGTCCACGAAGGCAACGAACGTCCTCGTGTCGTTTACTGTCTCTAGATGAGGCCCTTGACCTGTCGTCCCGTGAACGGGAACGACTTCTAGAGAGGGATCTGTGTTCACTGTCGACCCACACGACGTTCCTATCGTAGTTGGTAAGACAAGAGACGGACCGACTGGGGACCGTAGTCCCTTCGTGGTCCTCGTCACCACCCGGTCCCGTCGTAACGGGGGTGGCTGAGTGACGCTCTTGATCAACCGATTGACGAAGATCAGTCGTGCGGGTAGTATCAACAGCAGGCGAACGGTCACGTGTCTTGTCGAAAACATAAGTTGACTGAGGCGGGTCTTTATCAACTGATTTCTTGGGTGTGGCCGAAGCGCCACCCCCAGGGCCAGATGTAGAGGGTGCAGAGTCCAAGGATCCACCCGATGACCTTCTCTGCTTGTAGCGCTGGTCAGTAGCCCGCTCCGCCAATGCACGAAGATACAAGTTAAAGTTGATAGAAGACAAGTGCTCACATTCTTTACAACGTTTATCCCACGAACACGTTGAAAACCCGTCCTTAATTATGCAGGAAGGACAATACTTGTGAGGATCTACTTTAGACAGTTTTCGTTGACACGAGGCATAAATGCCCGACATGTTGCCACGTGTATAATCAAGTCAAACAGTGAAACACGTGTTGAACACAAACAATGGATTACCAAGGATTACATTCCAGGGGTCTACAGGGAAGACATATTATCATTACTTTATTAGAACAACAACTGTAGACACACGATAAGTACTAGTAGACAACAAACTAGCAGTCTATCGCGAAAGTCCTTCTCGAGCGACCAGCTCAGAGGCGCGCTGAGAGATTTGTGACATATCATATGGAAGTGCGTGCGCAACCGGACGGAAACAAGTTTATTGTTTACATTCCAGCTTCTGGCTTCCTTTTAACGTGCGACTAGAGGTATGAGATACCCATTTGTATGACTGAAAACAGACTAAAACATATGATTTCGCCGAAATTATTGTAAACAAAATTTGGTTACATACCAGCTTGAACAACCTAAAAAAACAAAAAAACACCGACCATATTTTCAAAAGCCATTGCCTGAGAACCAATTCTTTTATATTTTTAAGCCTGAACACTATTGCATGTTATGAAGGGGGACACATAAAATACACCTCAGCCCCAGGGCAAGCAATGATGAACTAAAGTCCACATGGACTCCTAAGCCCCTTCAGTGTTTGAGGAACAATCATGTCACCGGTGCACACAGAAGGTGACCATGTACTCACCCGGTATCTGTCAATCCTGGTGGTGACATCCACTCCAAGCTCTGTCACGGCAGCCATCTTGTCTTGGCACTGTCTAATGGTGTTCTCAAGGTCGGTGATGTGGGCCAGGAACTGCTGTCGGAGCTGAAGTGTCTGGCGACCTCGGTTCTGGTGCTGGCAGACCTGGTCAATCAGCTGCTCATAGTGACTGGTCAGTTTCACAACCGCCTCAGCCTGGCTGGTCTGGCCGGCAGACCTCAGGACTGAAACCGTCTCGTTCAACTTTGAAACAGATGTCTGATACTCCGCCAACTTCTGCTCCACGTCCTAGAGGAACACACACACACAGATCGTGACAGACTACATGTCCTAGAGGAACATATACACACAGATCGTGACAGACTTCATTAGCCAGTGTTAAGTACCTTGGAGATGCCATAGCTTGTTTTGACTCTGATTGGAATGACATGATGCGAACATTAGCCATCTAATTACATTACAATCAGCATCAAGAGATATTGTGTTGGAGGTAACTGGGGAGACAGATGGAGCAAGAGAAATTGTGTTGGAGGTAACTGGGGAGGACAGAAGGAGCAAGAGATATTTTGTTGGAGGTAACTGGGGAGACAGATAGATCAAGAGAAATTGTGTTGGAGGTAACTGGGGAGACAGATGGAGCAAGAGAAATTGTGTTGGAGGTAACTGGGGAGACAGATGGATCAAGAGAAATTGTGTCGGAGGTAACTGGGGAGACAGATGGAGCAAGAGAAATTATGTTGGAGGTAACTGGGGAGACAGATGGAGCAAGAGAAATTATGTTGGAGGTAACTGGGGGAGACAGATGGAGCAAGAGAAATTGTGTTGGAGGTAACTGGGGGAGACAGATGGAGCAAGAGAAATTGTGTTGGAGGTAACTGGGGAGACAGATGGAGCAAGAGAAATTGTGTTGGAGGTAACTGGGGAGACGGATGGAGCAAGAGATATTGTGTTGGAGGTAACTGGGGAGACAGATGGAGCAAGAGATATTGTGTTGGAGGTAACTGGGGAGACAGATGGAGCAAGAGAAATTGTGTTGGAGGTAACTGGGGAGACAGATGGAGCAAGAGAAATTGTGCTGGAGGTAACTGGGGAGACAGATGGAGCAAGAGAAATTTTGTTGGAGGTAACTGGGGAGACAGATGGAGCAAGAGATATTGTGTTGGAGGTAACTGGGGAGACAGATGGAGCAAGAGAAATTGTGTTGGAGTTAACAGAGATGAAGCTGTGGTGGTGAATGGGTGCAGGGCATGCTGATAGAATGGAACATAATATAACAACATAGTTGAATGTGAAATATTCATCTTCCCGAGGCAAGGAAGTTAACTGACTATAAAAGTCCAGTTTGCACCTTATCGAACTGGGCTGGAACTCCAAGTTACATTTTGGCTGGAATAATGAATCTATCCATAGTCCAATCACACAACAAACTAGACATGCAGTTCATAAACATAAATTTCACCATGCAGATTTTGGTCGCCTGCAGGATTTGCAACACATGTGTACCGCCAACTGGGTGTCTACAGATATTTTGCAAATCTTTTCATGTTTTTAATCAAGGTGCTCAAGTGATTTGATGTATTTCGCGGGGTAAGACCCGTTTCATTACAATATAGATCTTGATTATCTATCAGATCATCCTGACTGGGTGCCACCGGTTTGTTTGAAGCAAATGCAAGTGATATGAGAGTTGGAATCTGATTGGTCAGTAGGAGGGACATAGAAGGGATATAACTGGTAATGGTCACTGTTGGCATTCGATGGAGCCTTGAAATTCCAGCCAAAGGCAAAGATGGAAACTGGTCAGTTAAAGCCCTTGCCCCGGGAAGATAGAAATATTATGAAAACAGTTTTCATGAAAGCTATATTTAATACATTATTTCAGTTTTCATATCCCTATTATCCCTTGCCTGGAACCTTGTGATGGCATCTTCAGCGTCTTCCACTGATGCTCCAAGGGGCACCTGCTGCATCTCCATCTGCATGGTCTTCAGCCACACCTCCGTCTGCGAGATGCTGGCAGCAGCCTCTTTCTGGCTCTGTACTGCCGTCTCCAAGACAACCACACGTTCTGAGAGTGAGGTTGCAATGGGGTCAAAATGTAGACGTAGCGATGCGAGCTGTTTGTCCAGGACTGGCCGGTCAGTTTCATACAGGTTTGTGTAGAAGCCTTCACCTCGCTGTAGGGTCATGGCCAGGAGGTCGGCCTGTCCTTCACTGGACTTCTGCAGGGCCTGTGGATCAGTACGTGTTTTACCCATCAGATTCTCAAACACGATTAATACTAGGAAACGTTCATGGGTCGTCAATATGTGACTCAAATCTTTGCATCTTTCGTTACCAGTAACATGTGCTAGTGTTAAGTGAAGGAATGAGTTTGGTTTAACACCATTTGAACAATTGTCCACTAATATCTATAAATTGGAGAAACGTTTGATGTTGCTATCTCACTATTCAAGTAACCTTCCCATAACCTTCACACATCAAAATGCTTTGTTAAGTGACATGACAAGTTAGCTCCAGTATTAACATGATCAGCCCTCCTGGGCCCACTTGCACAAAGCAATCTCAGCACTAAGATGATCGTAACTGCCATACTTTAACATAGGCTTACAATAATCCTAGTGCTAAGATCGCTTTGTGCAAGTGGGTCCAGGTGCTGGAGCAGCTCCACACCGGGGACTACAAATGGTGCCTACCTGGAAGGTGTTCATCTGTTCCTGCAGCACTTCCACAGCACAATCCAGGGGAACGTCAGTGGAACACTGCAGCTCAGTGTCTTCGCACCACCGCTCGATCTGCTGACAGTCGCCCTCGAACTGTCTCCGCGCCGCCGCCACTGTGTGGAGGATGTCCTGCTGGTGCTGCAGGTGTGTGACCAGACCCTCGTACCTCCCTGTCAGCGCTGCCAGGCAACAAGCATCACAAGCATCAGTTGTGAGGGGTGTGAGAACTAGCTGTGCCAGCTGTACAGGACAACTACTAGAACATTCAGGTAACTAACCCAACTTCGTAGGCTGCAGGGCAGGTGGTCCACCAGGAATGTCATTGTACCAGAGTCCTCTCCCTTCCACCACTCCCTCCTACACAGCTCTTCAGTTTCTTTGTTTGTTTGTTTGTTTGTTTGTTGTTTAACGCCGCATTCAGCAATATTCCAGCTACATGACGGCGGTCTGTAAATAATCGAGTCTGGACCAGACAATCCAGTGAATGACATAATTAGCTTTGATCCATGCAATTGGAATACGATGACAAGCATCAACCATGTCAGTGAGCCTGACCACACGATCCGGTAAGTCACCTCTTATGACAAACATATAGTCGCCTTTTATGGCAAGAATGGGTTGCTAAAGACCAATTCTACCTCAAATCTGCACAGGTCACATGCCATTTAGAGACGGATGAAGGGTGGACACAGGCTCTCCACAACGGAGGCTCACAACTTTGTGATGTGTTCATCATTATTGCCGAAAATTCACCGAGGGTTGAATTTGTCCTTTCAAAAGGGGAAGTCCAGACCCCCTTCTCAGGGTTTATCAGCATACTATTATGAGTTATACATAGCATACCAGTGAAGGTCTTAGGTGGCATACCACTTAGAATCTATATAGAATAACACTTAGAATCTCTAAGGCATACCACTGAGAGTCTTGTCCATAGTGGCTGCCAAGTCTTCACCACTTTCAGCCTTCAACGTTTCAGCCTGACCTTTGACTGGCTCAAGGTGCTTCATGTGACCCTGCACTTCTGAGCACAAACTCTGTAACACATCAATCAAGGCCAACACTGAACGTCAAACCACAAAACAGTTACAATCTTTTCAGATTTAATTTGATTGTTAAGTTTCCCCTACTGCCAATCAATCCTGCTCACCTTGCACTTGTCGGCCTGTTTGTCCACATCCATGGCCAGGAGTCTGAAGGTGACATTCCTCTCCGCAGTGCGCTCCCGATCCTCCAGCCAGGAGACAAGCTTGTCCACCATCACCTGGTAGTCCTTTCTCTCTGCCATCTTGCCGTGGATGAGCTCCATCTGTTGCGACATCAATGTGTACGTCTTGTCATGTTCCGTTTGTACCACTGCTACCAGCTTCTCCACTGAGTCTCGCTCCGGGATGGGCAGATCCACCACCAGGGACGCTGACTTGCCCCGGATGGTGTTAAGTGTCTCCTGTCGGGCATCCAACTCACCACACAGCTCCTGGAGCACAAGACAGTCAGCAATACAGCACAAAGATACATGAGTATAGGTTTGTTTGTTTGTTGTTTAACGCCAAACACAGCAGTCTGGACCAGACAATCCAGTGACTGAGCATCGATCCACGCAATTGGGAAACGATATAAGGCAACCAAGTCAGCGAGCCTGATCACCCAATCCCATTAGTCAAATCTTATGACAAGCATAGTTGCTTTTTACAGCAAGCATGAGTGGTACTTTCAGTAGTATTTCAGATACACCACAACTTGTCAGCTTGGAAGAAAACCACTTGTGTCTGCAGGTTATTGTGGTTCAGCCAACAGACATGATCAACTGTCCAGTGACAGAATGCAGCACAGTTACCCGTGGCACCCTCCATCCAACAGACAAGATCAACTGTCCAGTGACAGAATGCAGCAGAGTTACCCGTGGCACCCTCCATCCAACGGACATGATCAACTGTCCAGTGACAGAATGCAGCACAGTTACCCGTGGCACCCTCCATCCAACAGACAGGATCAACTGTCCAGTGACAGAATGCAGCACAGTTACCCGTGGCACCCTCCATCCAACAGACATGATCAACTGTCCAGTGACAGAATGCAGCACAGTTACCTATGGCACCCTCCATCCAACAGACATGATCAACTGTCCAGTGACAGAATGCAGCACAGTTACCTATGGCACCCTCCATCCAACAGACATGATCAACTGTCCAGTGACAGAATGCAGCACAGTTACCCGTGGCACCCTCCATCCAACAGACAGGATCAACTGTCCAGTGACAGAATGCAGCACAGTTACCCGTGGCACCCTCCATCCAACAGACAGGATCAACTGTCCAGTGACAGAATGCAGCACAGTTACCCGTGGCACCCTCCATCCAACAGACATGATCAACTGTCCAATGACAGAATGCAGCACAGTTACCCGTGGCACCCTCCATCCAAAAGACATGATCAACTGTCCAGTGACAGAATGCAGCACAGTTACCCATGGCACCCTCCATCCAACGGACATGATCAACTGTCCAGTGACAGAATGCAGCACAGTTACCCATGGCACCCTCCATCAAACAGACAGGATCAACTGTCCAGTGACAGAATGCAGCACAGTTACCTATGGCACCCTCCATCCAACAGACATGATCAACTGTCCAGTGACAGAATGCAGCACAGTTACCCATGGCACTCTCCATCCAACAGACATGATCAACTGTCCAGTGACAGAATGCAGCACAGTTACCCATGGCACCCTCCATCCAACGGACATGATCAACTGTCCAGTGACAGAATGCAGCACAGTTACCTATGGCACCCTCCATCCAACAGACATGATCAACTGTCCAGTGACAGAATGCAGCACAGTTACCCATGGCACCCTCCATCCAACAGACAGGATCAACTGTCCAGTGACAGAATGCAGCACAGTTACCCGTGGCACCCTCCATCCAACAGACATGATCAACTGTCCAGTGACAGAATGCAGCAGAGTTACCCGTGGCACCCTCCATCCAACAGACAGGATCAACTGTCCAGTGACAGAATGCAGCACAGTTACCCGTGGCACCCTCCATCCAACAGACATGATCAACTGTCCAGTGACAGAATGCAGCACAGTTACCCGTGGCACCCTCCATCCAACAGACATGATCAACTGTCCAGTGACAGAATGCAGCAGAGTTACCCGTGGCACCCTTCATCCAACTTGGCAGGACACAAACCAGTGATGAATGTGTAATGATGAATGAAATCTATAAATGTGACCATTAAGATATCAGATTAAGAAACATCATGACAACATGATGAAGAAATAGGGTGCAAAGATCTTGTTTTCTCATTTCCCTATGAAGAATACAAATCTTGCAACTGTTTGATCAATTCTGTCTTCTTCTTACCACATGTATGACAAGCACATGCTTGGAACATACCTCCAGATGTTTAAGCTTCGTCTGTGTGTCTGCCTCCGTGTCGTCACTGATCTTAGTCTGCTTCTGTTGCAGCCATGACAGGTACTTGTTGGCCTCGTCCTTGATGTCCTCCAGACTTCCTCCCAGCATGCAGTATTGCTGCTGCTTCCTGTCGACTGTTGTGAGGAGCTCGGTATATCTTCGCTCGGTCGTCCTGCAGTACAAGGCATAAGGCAATGACACTTCATCTCACCTCACATTGATATACTCCCATCTGATTAGTTAAGGAGCGGGCAATTACTTGCCTGCTGAGGAATCAGTCGGAACACATCTTAGGTAACTTGCATATGTCGAATAAGTTTCACTGAGTTGAAGTGAAAAGATGTATTTCTGAATGCACTGGGACAAGGAAAGAAACTTGGACTTCCTGTCTTACTGATCCACATGATAGCTCACCTGACTCTCCTCATCTGACTTACTGATCTACATGATAGCTCACCTGACTCTCCTCATCTGACTTACTGATCTACATGATAGCTCACCTGACTCTTTCCTCCCCTTCTCACTTACTGATCAACACGATAGCTCACCTGACTCTCCTCATCTGACCTACTGATCTACATGGAAGCTCACCTGACTCTCTCCTTCCCTTCTGACTTACTGATCTACATGATAGCTCACCTGATCCCTCCTCATCTGACTTACTGATCTACATGATAGTTCACCTGACTCTCTCCTCCCCTTCTCACTTACTGATCTACACGATAGCTCACCTGACTCTCCTCATCTGACTTACTGATCTACATAATAGCTCACCTGACTCTCTCCTTCCCTTCTGACTTACTGATCTACATGATAGCTCACCTGACTCTTTCCTCCACAAGGTCTGCATCATGATTACTCAGTTTGTCCTTCAGTTCTACAGACTTGACCTTCGCAATGTCCACATCTGCTCGACGTTTCTTGATCTCCTCTCCATGTTTCTGTAAAAGCAAAGGTCAGTTTAATTTTTGCGCTGAAATAATGATGTTGCACGACATAAATGTGAAAAGCAGAACAGTGGTTAAACCTGTTTACGCCAGACACTATCAAATCAGCGGAAAACAATACAGCAACAGCAACAGCATGATATCCTTCATTCTGGAGACTTCCAACATCAGCTGACATTTGTTCCAACAAGCTTCGTACGCGATGCGTAAAGTGAAGAAAACCCATCACACATGCAGCCTCTAGAAGGATAATGTCTGTAAGAGGATGTGTGTCTGCTCTGTATAGACACAATGTGTGTGTGTCTGTGAGTGAGTGTATCTACCTGGTCCATAAGTGTCTGCATCTACCGAGTGAGTGAGTGAGTGAGTGAGTGAGTGAGTGAGTGAGTGAGTGAGTGAGCGAGTGAGCGAGCTAGTGAGTGAGTGAGCGAGTGAGTGGGCGAGCGAGCGGGCGGGCGGGCGGGCGAGCGAGCGAGTACAGATGAGCCAGTGTCAGGCCACAACTCTCCTACATGTCACCTTCAGGACTGAACATGTCTCCCCTGTAAGACAGCCCCCACATGTCTGCTGTATCAGAGTGGTATTGTTTCTGTTCAACTCCTCTGATACTCATTCTGCTGATCACTCATGCATAAAGAAACTCAAACCACAAGACATGATGCCGTGCATGTCACTCTTCTCAAGTTTTATTTCTCCTATTTCCTGTATCTCCATCTATATATCCCAGTAGGTGTATAAAGCTGTATATCCCAGGAGGTGTATAAGTCTGTATATCCCAGTAGGTGTATAAGTCTGTATATCCCAGGAGGTGTTAGCCTGTGTATCCCAGTAGGTGTATAAGGCTGTATATCCCAGGAGGTGTATAAGTCTGTATATCCCAGGAGGTGGATAAGTCTGTATATCCCAGTAGGTGTATAAGGCTGTATATCCCAGTAGGTGTATAAGTCTGTATATCCCAGTAGGTGTATAAGTCTGTATTTCCCAGTAGGTGTATAAGGCTGTATTTCCCAGTAGGTGTATAAGGCTGTATATCCCAGTAGGTGTATAAGCCTGTATATCCCAGTAGGTGTATAAGGCTGTATATCCCAGTAGGTGTATAAGTCTGTATATCCCAGTAGGTGTATAAGACTTCATATCCCAGTAGGTGTATAAGTCTGTATTTCCCAGTAGGTTTATAAGTCTGTATATCCCAGTAGGTGTATAAGTCTGTATTTCCCAGTAGGTGTATAAGTCTGTATATCCCAGTAGGTGTATAAGTCTGTATATCCCAGTAGGTGTATAAGTCTGTATATCCCAGTAGGTGTATAAGGCTGTATATCCCAGTAGGTGTATAAGGCTGTATATCCCAGTAGGTGTATAAGGCTGTATATCCCAGTAGGTGTATAAGGCTGTATACCCAGTAGGTGTATAAGTCTGCATATCCCAGTAGGTGTATAAGGCTGTATATCCCAGTAGGTGTATAAGGCTGTATATCCCAGTAGGTGTATAAGGCTGTATATCCCAGTAGGTGTGTAAGCCTGTGTATCCCAGTAGGTGTATAAGGCTGTATATCCCAGTAGGTGTATAAGGCTGTATATCCCAGTAGGTGTATAAGTCTTTATATCCCAGTAGGTGTGTCAGTCTGTATATCCCAGTAGGTGTATAAGTCTGTATTTCCCAGTAGTTGTATAAGTCTGTATATCCCAGTAGGTGTATAAGTCTGTATATCCCAGTAGGTGTATAAGTCTGTATTTCCCAGTAGGTGTATAAGGCTGTATATCCCAGTAGGTGTATAAGTCTGTATTTCCCAGTAGGTGTATAAGACTTCATATCCCAGTAGGTGTATAAGTCTGTATTTCCCAGTAGGTGTATAAGTCTGTATATCCCAGTAGGTGTGTAAGCCTGTATTTCCCAGTAGGTGTATAAGTCTGTATATTCCAGTAGGTGTGTCAGTCTGTATTTCCCTCTGTGTTTCGTATATGCTAAACATTCAAACTCATACAATGCCTGATGAAGCATGACATGTTTTATATCTGGAGTAATGATATCCTGATTCAATGTACCAAACACCAAGTGGAAACAGCAGTGTATACATGGTATAGTTTGTGTGGCCTTTGTTGACCCCGGCAATCTAGCCAGTGTTGTGTTCTGTACATATCTACTGGAGCAGGCCGCACTGTTAAATCAATCCTCCTGGACACACACCACTGACTTCTTGAATACTTATTGATTGTTAACAGTCGGAAACAACTCATTATTTCCTGGAACCTGCCAATACATTCCTGTGTCATGTCTACTCCGCCCGTCACCCATGACATATCTACCCAGTCCCCAGTGTGTGATATATCTACCCAGTCCCCAGTGTGTGACATATCTATCCAGTCCCTTGTGTGTGACATATCTACCCCTTCCCTAGCATGTCACATATCTACCCAGTCCCCAGTGTGTTACATATCTACCCAGTCCCCAGTGTGTTACATATCTACCCAGTCCCCAGTGTGTGATATATCTACCCAGTCCCCAGTGTGTGACATATCTATCCAGTCCCCAGTGTGTGACATATCTATCAAGTCCCTTGTGTGTGACATATCTACCCAGTCCCTAGCATGTCACATATCTACCCAGTCCCTTGTGTGTGACATATCTACCCAGTCCCCAGCGTGTGACATATCTACCCAGTCCCTTGTGTGTGTCATATCTACCCAGTCCCCAGTGTGTGACATATCTACCCAGTCCCCAGTGTGTGACATATCTACCCAGTCCCCAGTGTGTGACATATCTATCCAGTCCTTAGCATGTGACATATCTACCCAGTCCCCAGTGTGTGACATATCTACCCAGTCCCTTGTGTGTGACATATCTACCCAGTCCCTTGTGTGTGACATATCTACCCAGTCCCTTGTGTGTGACATATCTACCCAGTCCCTAGTGTGTGACATATCTACCCAGTCCCTTGTGTGTAACATATCTACCCAGTCCCCAGTGTGTGACATATCTACCCAGTCCCTTGTGTGTGTCATATCTACCCAGTCCCCAGTGTGTGACATATCTACCCAGTCCCCAGTGTGTGACATATCTACCCAGTCCCCAGTGTGTGACATATCTATCCAGTCCTTAGCATGTGACATATCTACCCAGTCCCCAGTGTGTGACATATCTACCCAGTCCCTTGTGTGTGACATATCTACCCAGTCCCTTGTGTGTGACATATCTACCCAGTCCCTTGTGTGTGACATATCTACCCAGTCCCTAGTGTGTGACATATCTACCCAGTCCCTTGTGTGTAACATATCTACCCAGTCCCCAGTGTGTGACATATCTACCCAGTCCCTAGTGTGTGACATATCTACCCAGTCCCTAGCATGTGACATATCTACCCAGTCTCCAGTGTGTAACATATCTACCCAGTCCCTTGTGTGTGACATATCTACCCAGTCCCCAGTGTGTGACATATCTACCCAGTCCCTTGTGTGTGACATATCTACCCAGTCCCCAGTGTGTAACATATCTACCCAGTCCCTTGTGTGTAACATATCTACCCAGTCCCCAGCATGTGACATATCTACCCAGTCCCCAGTGTGACATATCTACCCAGTCCCTTGTGTGTGACATATCTACCCAGTCCCCAGTGTGTGACATATCTACCCAATCCCCAGTGTGTGACATATCTACCCAGTCCCCAGTGTGTGACATATCTACCCAGTCTCCAGTGTGTAACATATCTACCCAGTCCCCAGCATGTGACATATCTACCCAGTGCCTTGTGTGTGACATATCATACACATATGTTTGTATACACAGATAAATATTGTTCTCAAATATTTACCTTTTTTTTTCGTACTTTTGGTCTACGGCCAGCACATTTGAGCAAAGAGCTAGCACCACCCATGGTAACAATCCATTACAAGAACAGAACTAGTCCAGAGCAGGGAGTCCGTCCAGTGGCACTCTTCCCCCACGACTGAAATGTAGGAAAGTGACCACGGTACCCCACTCGACTGCAGGGAGCCACAGCAGTGGGCTTGACAGGTGTATTGTGACCGTCAGCTGGACTAATCTGGATTTCGCTTACGTAAGCATATACTGTTACACACAAGGACTTGACACCACCAGCTTAGCACAGATTGATGTTGTCAGTGCTTGCACTGTGTGTCAGCTGTGAGATTCAAACCAAGAACTCTGACAGCCACCTTCTTGTCACATTCAGAGGTCCCGTGTACTGCTAGACTTGACTCCGAAACTTTAGTCTTTCCTAAGACTCGACCAATCTCTAGAAATGTGTCAAGCCTTGAGTTGAGACCCTGTTGTGTGCAAGCAGCTATAAGAACGCCCCTCTACAAGACGCTGGGCAAGGATTATGAGACAGGTCTTGTGTTAATAACAGGTCTGTAACGTAGGAGCAGCTATTGTGGTTGTATTTCAATCAGCAAATGAACCTATTTGTTGGGTTATGAACAGAATTCAGCCAACAATCAAATGTATTCCATGTCGGCGAATCTGGCCTGGTACTCTCCGAGGTGGGGCAGCTAACCAGCACCTAATCAGCTCACATCACACAACACCAGGCCACATCACACAACACCAGGCAACATCTCACAACACCAGGCCAGCACCACACAACACCAGGCCAGCACCACACAACACCAGGCCTGCACCACACAACACCAGGCCAGCACCACACAACACCAGGCCAGCACCACACAACACCAGGCCTGCACCACACAACACCAGGCCAGCACCACACAACACCAGGCCAGCACCACACAACACCAGGCCAGCACCACACAACACCAGGCCTGCACCACACAACACCAGGCCTGCACCACACAACACCAGGCCAGCACCACACAACACCAGGCCAGCACCACACAACACCAGGCCAGCACCACACAACACTAGGCCTGCACCACACAACACCAGGCCTGCACCACACAACACCAGGCCAGCACCACACAACACCAGGCCAGCACCACACAACACCAGGCCAGCACCACACAACACTAGGCCTGCACCAC